AAGAAAAAGAACACTGAACATACAAGATTTGTCTGGAAAGCCTTACTGAAAGTTCTCATTTATTAAAAGCTCGTGACGGTGAATCCGTTCAACGGCTGGCATCGGAATGTCTCGAGGTTAGACTTTATTTGTTTTAGTTGTTGCTGTTCACTTCATTAGTTTCGGAATTCATAGCAACGGGCTAGGTTGCGTCCGAATATTCTTAGTCGAGTCTAGGAAAGTGCCTTGTTGTGGTTCCGTTATTAATTGCTTAAAGTGCTAGGTCGAGTCTGAATCCCCGATCGTCGAGTCGAAAGTCCCAGAGTTGCGTCCAAAAGTGTTATAACAATGAGTTCCCCCCCCCCTCCCCTATTCAGCAGGAAAAAGATTCTCCCAGAATAGCAACTTTTTTGAAAAGTAAATCAAGCGTTATGAAAACGCTAAAAAGAGCTCGGCTTTGAACTCCCAAAAGATAATTAACCATATGTTAAGCCATGCATGGCGATTTAACCAATACCACACGAAAAACTATAGAACCCGGTAATTCATTCAAATTTAGTTTATATTATGTGTTTATCTGTTTTTAACAATGTGGAATACGTGTAATAGCTTGAAACGGAAGTCACATCCCTCTCAACCCGAGAATAGAAATAAGAAATTTGCTACTGATCTGAGAGATCAAGCAGAATCCAATATTGAATATAATGATGAAGACAGAGACGAATATGATGCAGGTTTGTTGGAAAGAGTCGAAGAAGCACAACTTCAGGAAAAAGCAGATATCCTGTAATCTTAGTCTCAACTATACCTGCTAACGTGTTTATATATCACTTACTGTGTCTAATGTGAATTCGTTAGGCGAGTTTGAACACGAAATCGCGCTTGGAAAAATATAATATTGTTTGTCTCTTTGATATCGAATTTTCCTACACGAAACAACTCTATGAAATTATCAACAGATCAGATTCGCGCCAGAAAGAGTAAATGGATAAAGGTAAGCTTATTTTATGCTTGGTTGAGAGCTATGGACATCGAACTAATAAACATATTTTTAATCATAATGAGATATGCATTAAAAAGTGCTGGAACGAATGCCCTTAAAAACGCTGGTGGATGACATTGGTTTTGTTGAAGTTGTCGGCAATACGTTCACCAAGGATATTTCTGGCAAAAATGACGATCTCGAGAAACTACTGAGAGGTACGTGTATAACTGATTTTGTGACGACTTTGCCTTTATTAGTGGAAATTCCATACAAAAGCGTTTTCATCTTTTTGACAATGAAATTGGCAGAACAAAAAACGAATCAGGTCTTTCTTATCAAAATGAAATTACCACGGGCCTATTGTCACAATTCGATACACCGTTTGCTACGTACGATAGTCAAACTTTGTAACAATGACCGCGTTACTCCAGACGGCGATCCCATTGTTATCACTTAGTATTATCTGTTATGCTACCTACGGGAACGGAGAAAACCCAATTCGATCAACGAATAACAACGGCAGGTCAGGTATGTTGTAGACGAAAACGGACTAATTGAATGTGAAATATTCCAACTCTTTGTCTTTTTTACTGAACCTTAATTTGTGATGTGTCGTGCTGCATATGTTATTGCGATACATTGATCTGAACGGTCAAAGGAATTACAAATGCATTTTGAGGGATACCAACACATACCCAGGAACTATTATCTGGATCGTCGTACGAAATGCTTATATAGCGAGTACACACGTTCTTAAAATCTTGTAATAGAAGGATGCAAACTGAACGGAAACAAAGACTTAGATATTAAAAACAGCAAAAGTAACCCAAGCCCACGGACATTAGCAGTACAAGATTACGAGATTGGTGTTTAGACTGACCAACCAACAACAAAGACAATGTTTTTAATTAATATACTGATACGGTATAAACCTCATCAAACATTGAAAACGTGATTTTGTGACATTTAATTAAAGATTGGAAATATAACTGACAAAGATGTTTCTCATTTACTCGACTTTGTCAATCACGAATTAAATCTTTTTTGAGCGAGTTGTCCTCCCTCCCCCCTTATCGAATATGTGTCGATCCGACTGTGACCGTTGTGCAAGACTTTTTTATTTCACATACGGCTAGAGGGGTGTCCACAGATGACGTTAAGATCTAGATGCTTATGCTTAGAATAGTCGTAGTACGAGATGGTTCCAAAATAAGCAACTCCTTGAGAAATCGATATACTTGTGTGTTTATGCCGAATATTACTATGGCTGCATAAGCATACCAAAACTGGTAAGTTTATGTAAACATGCAATGTGTATAGAGTGAGCTAAGCATTCTCGGAAATGATTGATCGGTACCCTTCGACAGTTAAAAGGGCCTAATAAACGAAACCCATTGTCGACTAAACAGAAATGGAAATAGAACATCAAGGATGACGTTTTTCCAACACGGGTTACATACACTGCTTATTAATTATATGGATTCCGTCTGTCAACAACAATAACAGATTTCCCTTATTGAATTTATGCTTTTAGACTTGTTACACCGCTTACACTGCCGCTTGAATTGTATCAATATATAAATAAATCCACACACCTCCTTAAAAAACCATTGATCGACATTATCGTGCAGATCTTGCCTGTGTTACATGTTATTAGTATTGTTCTCTGATGCTCGATAATTAGTACTGTTAAGGATAACAAACCCATTCTCTCCAAAGCGGACATTGTTCTCGAGTACCTACGTTACCGTAATTAGCAGACATTGAAGTTGGATGCTTGCAGAAAAACGGTAAAGACGCAAGGTGATAACATCATCGCAAATGACTAGAAAAGTGACTAATAAACGGCAAACTCCCTCGTAAATGAAATATCGGTCATATTTCGCAATTACATTACAATCACATCCAATAGTGGATATTATTTTACAAAGAAATATTAGTTTGCCAATATATCTTGCTCGGTACTACGCATGTTTGCCGAACAGTCTAATAAAACAAAGCAAACAACAATCTATAATTGTACAGAATTTGAAATGAGGGTTGAAACAATTGTTACCACAATAGGACGAATTTGCTCCTGATTGTTCTCAGTTAAAACAATAGAAATCGGTGGCAATGATTGTCCTATCATCAAACACTATATGCAACAGCGGCCGCATCTACGAGTACCATATTTATTATATATATCGCTCCCATTAGGCCCTTCACCCGTCCTCTACCCAGCTCTAATTTGTTTACTCTTGTACCTCAACTTAATCATTCCATTCTCTCGTCGTCTAAACAACGACACTCTTAATAACAAAGGACATTAATTGCAAACAATACAATACAATACAACAAACACAAGAGACGGACAATACACAAAAGAGCAGACAACGAATAACTGACTGACTGACAATACATCGACAAGTCTTATATAAATCACATTTCTCCTTCCAAGACAGAAGAATCAAGAAAAACAAAAAGTCATGTTCACCGAAACAACTGCTACTTCTTCTACTAGCAATATCAACGACAGTGCTGCTTCTCACCAAGTCATAACAATAACCTGCGAAGCCCCAGAAGACAAACAGCTCCAAATGGACAATTCAACCTTGATAAACACTTCCACAAATGACAGCGAACCTCCCGCCTACTCGCAAATTTCGGTAACAGCTCCCCCCGCTGCACGTCTTCCTGCACAGAATCCCTACGCCGAGATGCTTCCAACTTACGAACATGCCAAAGTCGACATGCCTCCATCATACCCGATCCCAAAATATGCGGATACTCCATTCGATGCTCCCATCGAACCGCAAGAACCCTGGCCTCTTACCAAGAAATTGTACATTGCTGGTTTCGTATTCTGGCCTCTCTGGTTCGTAGGAATGGGATTCTGTGTATTCGGCAGAGAAGAAACGACAAGATTATGGGGAAGGCGATGTGCTTACAATTCGCTCATAGTCGTTGCTATATTCACATACATAATCATAGCCTTCTTCAGAACGGGCGGTCACGTATTCTAAAAAACAATATTTCTTCTTTGATTACCGAACAATGAACTATTGGTTAAAAAGCTGTGCTTGAAACACAAGTATAGCTCCAATCATCAAAAAGGAAAAAGATGCCCGTATTCACACTAGGGGATAGGAACTGTTTCATTCATTTTTAGTGTTAGTTGCTGGGTTGGGTTTTGTTTTTGTTTTTTTTTTATCTGTTATTTTTATTTAATTACGCAAGAACATTTGCCATATCTTAATTAATTGAAGGAAGAAGGTGAGGGTGATAGACTGAGAATGGGGGCTGTGCTCTCACTCTTTTGGCTTTGCCCGTAATGTTGTGTGTTGTTCGACTGATGACTACTTCTATCGTACTCATTTGTATTATTTTAACGGTTGTTGTTGTTGTTGTTATATCTATTGTATTGTAATTTATATAATATCGAGAGAAGCTATCGCTCCCCTATCTATCTAGCTATTTATTCAATCGCAGATAAATTGTACATAATTTACTCTTTCCTACTTTCTAGTTTAATGTTCTTTCTTTGATAGGAGGAAATAAAATCCAAGTAAAAGAGAAAAAAAAAAGACAAAAAAAAAAAAAGAGAAACGTAAAAAAATAAGAGTATATTACGAATCATAGTTCTATTAAAACCTTTCGCGTCTCATTATAATTTATGGTTTAGAGAATCTTTGGAATGTTTACGGATAAGAGAAAACAAATGTTCTCCAAGCTGGGGCCGAATGAGTACGCAAAATGGTTCAATAAAAAAAAAAAGTCCTTTATTCAATGAAATTGGTAAATTATTTCTGATCATGGAATTCGGCTCGACCCGACGCAATTAATTTGGAAGCCTTATTGTATTATTATAGTCGTAGGCAGTTAAGCGGCGTAAAACGAAATGTGAAAGCCCCTTTGCCTCAGATGATTACTAATATAGGTTTGAATAAACTGCATTCACCGTTGATCGGCTCTAATATTAGTAGTAGTCAATAGAAATAGTAATCAATTGTTCTAATTGTTCTCTGCAACTTTCTGAATATAACTGTGGCTAGTATACATACAATGCCACTCTGGATATTGTATTGTTTCGATTCATTGGCTTCTGGTCTTGATAAATCCATGAAGGTGTGACAGGTGTCCTAATCCAAAACTGATTCACAGGTATGACAGCTTGTCAAAGGCTATTGACACTCCCCATTCGGCTTTTTAGAATGAGTGAAGCTCAATCACTAGCTGTCAAAGGTATATATTTGTATATCATCTCCCTAATTACGCAGCAACTGCCCGCATGTAATTAATACACGCATTATTCTGCTATTACATTAGGTCAACGTCCTGTCGTCGTAGTAGTCTCGGGACCATCTGGTGAATTACATATCCATCCGATAATAACGATTCTCCTTTCCCTTAGCGACGTCAATTAATCATACCTTTTGCGTGCAATTAGGTACTGGAAAGTCGACGCTACTGAAAAGACTGTTCCAAGAGTACCCCGACTATTTTGGGTTTAGCGTCTCGCGTTAGTATTGTCTCGTATTATCAACACACATCAAAGCTGCCGTGCTGCGATATAATCGAACTAGCGTTTTCTACTCCACCGATCTGACAGATACAACGCGAGCTCCGCGCCCTGGAGAAGAGGACGGAAAACATTACCACTTTGTATCTAGAGATGAGTTCTTGTCTTTGGTTTCACAGAACAAATTCATCGAGTATACAGAGTTTTCAAAAAATTTATACGGAACAAGTATTAAAGCTGTCAAGGATGTAGAAGACTCGGGAAAGATTTGTATTCTGGATATTGAATTACAGGTAAGAACAGTGGGGCCGTGGCATCAATTGTGACTGACCGGCATAAGCAAGTCACATAATTGCGAATCGGATCGATCCCGTTATTAACCACAATCCCTTTTTATTCATTCGTTCCGTTCGGACATACCTCCCCCCCCCTCTCCAACAAATATATCTCTTCTTCCTCCTCTCCCAATCCTCTCTAATGCCCAGGGTGTCAAAGCGGTAAAATCCAAATCTTCCCTTCTCGATGCCAGATTCCTCTTTGTTGCTCCACCATCGCTACAGGTCCTCGAACAAAGACTCCGCGGAAGAGGGACAGAGACTGAAGAATCGATAAAAACACGATTAAAAGTGGCAGAGGAAGAACTCGGATATGCTAACCAAGAAGGAGCACATGATTTAATTATTGTGAACGATGTTCTAGATGAGGCATACGAAAATTTTAAAGCGTTTATTGTAGAAACTTATGAAAAGAAGTTTAAGAAAGAAGAGAATCTGTAGATTTTATTAATTCGAATAAAAATAAAACAATCCCAGAACTGCTTTGTGTGACAAAACGATGATACCGATAAGGTGGGTGGTGGAAGAAGTGTCTTTAGAGCTTGATTCCCATTTTAGCTTCCATAAATGTATGGAAATCTACCATCTGTGTCGACATCTCTGGAGCTAAAACATTGAATGAAATAAGCATATGATTAGTCATAATAGCAAAATCTCAAGGGCTGGGTGAGAACTCTATAAAAAAGAATAGTCTTGCCGCCAAAACTTACTGTTCAAATAATCATCCATATCGAGCGTTTCATCTTTGCCAGACAAGATTTCCAATCCCAAATTGGAGTTTGGCATGCCGGAAAACCGATGCAACTAGGATGTCATTTTTTTTAGCAATCGATTTAACGAATAACAAAATTTATTAATGGGTAAAAAGAAAAGCAAACTCACGTTCGAAACAATCTTCTTCTCCATCATACGTCTCATAGGAGCATGCAAGCCATAAATTCTTCTCTCGAATGTCAGTTTAAGATTAGTCTGAGTCTCCTCCCACTATGAAAACAAATTCGTTACGAGACTTTTTTCAATCATGCCAAAACCACCCACACACGCACCCACGCACGCACCCACGCACGCACACCCACACCCACACGCACACACATTCTTTGCCTCTTTCATTTTAAACATACTCTCGCTAATCTGTTCTCTAACGGATGCCGGGCTGACCCGTGGCTCTCGGAACTTAATCCATGTCTGAATGTATCATGCACACCAAATTTACTTAATGTTGAAACGTCAGACTTGCTGGGTGGTGGAAATTCGCTAGGTACTATTCGAAGAGATTGCTGATTTGTGATGTTGAATGTGGTGGTTAGAGTTGGGAAATTTCGTTTCGTTTTTCAAACGGGAAAAACGTTAATCGTAAGGATTGTATTAGAGACTCGTTTTTTTCTAGACATACCATTTTTTGGTGGGCTAATGGAAAACGTAACGAGAAAAACGACAGAGCCCGGGCGACAAGATCTGATTACGTACGTGTTTTTTCGGTACGGTCACGTGTATGGAATTCGATGCTGATCACTGTATCACGCAACGCTATTACACTCCCTGGACTAAAGTATCTGATGGGAGTTTTTTCAACATCCAGTATAACTATTATACAAATTTTTTATACTATTTTGTTCACAAATCTGCATGTGAATTTTGAAGTGTTTAGCTTTCTTATACGATGAATTATCAAACAAAAGGCAATTGCGATTAAAATCAATTTCGCCGATTTTTTGGCTCACAAAATTTATATAAAAGAAGAAATTAGACGTAAAATTTTAAACATCCACCTAAATAAATAAAATTGGTTTATTATTATAAACCAAATACTAATACAAATATGTGTTTTATTCAACTTTTTCTTGTCGCCTCTTTTTTGTATGTAAATAATTAAATAAAAAAAGCAAAGATTTTGTGTTGTTTTGTTTGTATTGCGTTGTTTCCAAATTTTATTTTTGAGCACTTTTATTATCTTTTACAATGCCAAAAGATTCCGAATTGACAAAAGCTGATCGAGGAAAAATCTTGGATCTTAGAATATGTGGAAGTGTTTCAAAAATATCTAAGACATTTAAAATTCCGCCATCCACTGTACAGGTCGCTATATGAACTCTGGTAATTTAAAAAGTGCTCGAAGAGAATTAGAGATTACTCTAAAAGAGTAATGGTCACTAATTCCTCACCAAACATATTCCAATTTGACTAAACGCATGCCAAGGAGGCTTGAGGCATGTATTTCGAATAATGGATGGCCAACTCAGTACTAAAATAAAAACTGCCTTTTGTTTGATAATTCATCGCATAAGAAGCTAAACACTTCAAAATTCACATGCAGATTTGCAAAAAGCTAGGCTACAAAATGATATAAAAACTTTGTATAATTATTATACTGAATTTTGCATAAACTCGAACAAACTCCCATCGGATACTTTAGTCCAGGGAGTGTATGTATAGCACGTATACTCACACTTCGTCGAACTATTAACAATAATTTATAAAATTTATTGTTATTATAGTTCGAAAAGCATACTCAATTAGCTTCAGAACTATACAAAAATTATTGCACTTCACGTAGTACACAAGAGCAGGAGAGATTAATCTTAGATAAAGTCATTATGTGCTGCACGTTTTGCAAAAGTATTTGCAATTTGCTAAATTGGGTATAATAATAACAGTATTTGTACCGATCCATTTTCCTATGAATTTCGAAAAATAAATTTGCTTGTTCTTTGGATAATAAAATTATACTTCAACTATTGTCTGAACCACCACGTGAATTTTTGATGATTTGTGGTAATATCTTGGCGACTAATAAGGGAAGCGTGAGAAGTGTCCAGTTTAGAAAGATTGCGATTATAAGACCTTATGTTTAATACAGAAAAGCGTTCGTAATAATCAAGACGATGCATAACACCGAGAGTTTAATATACTCGTTAGAAGGTTGATACTCGTAATATACAACAAAAGTTATTGTGAATCTATCGTTACTGTCCATTTATTGTCATTGTAAATACCGTTATCGTGAACTTATCGTTATTGTGAATTTATCGTGATTCTGCCCAAGTTAAAATATTATTTCGTTAATGAAGGGGAACATATGCCAAAATGTTAGTAGAGTATTGGAGCCATAAAGTGTGATAGCGGATACTCTTGATGAAAATCCAATTGGAGCATTACAGTGGAAAAGAAATATTAATGTCGAAGCTGAAATTAACCTTCATTAACGATAATCTATATAATGTATAACGGGTATTTATTGGATATTTTATATATGAGCGGCATTTCTTCGCCCGCTACGTTTTATCAGGAACATCTGTTGAACCTGACCTTCGGTGATATATTATTCGTCTTTGTCTGTATGATGAAACGGCGATGTTATTAATATATATTAAAATTAATAGTAATAGGCCATTAATAGTAGCGGTTAAATCTAAAGTGTTGTATTCTTATTTAATTTATAATTATTACGGATAGTATAGAAAGGCCGATGGAGAATATATATGTTGCTTGATATATTCGAGACACGATCCCAATGTAAGTTTGCGAACAAGAGCACTACGAAACACGAACCATGAAAATGCAAAATCATTCGTCTAGCAAGAAGGAAATTATTTTCTGAAAGAAATAATTAGTTACGATAATGTCTGATCTTAAAGATAGAATTATAAAGATATAATTAAGTAGTATAATAACGTTGGCTAAGCCGGTGGGCTCATCACTAAGCATCGACACTACAGGTCCCCCTATTGTCACGGTGAGAGAGCGCAGCCACCTCGCGAAGAAAACCGTTGACAGTACTATAAGAAAAATTCACGTGGTGGTTCAGACAATGGTTGAAGCACATAGCCAACCTCGTTAATCGGGACCGAGGCTTAAGTTCGGATTAACGGCATCTTCGGATTAACGAGGTTTGCAACTTAAGTCTTTATTATTGTTAGTTATTATCACAACGTACACAAAATGGTTCTACACACTTCCACCTGCTGACATCTGATTATGTCGTCTCGCTTTGAGGTGCGAAAAAACTGTCAAGATGTAATTGTCGCTTACTTTGTATTTCAAG